TGCTAGGTGTATTTATTCAACTTACCTGTATTGCAATCTAATCCTGCATATGATGCAAGGCGTGAACATCCATATGGACCATAAACACACATCAGTACAGTATGAAAGCCATTAGTACTGCTAGGTGTATTTATTCAACTTACCTGTATTGCAATCTCATCCTGCATATGATGCAAGACATGAACATCCATAGGGATCAGAAACACACATCATTACACTATGACAACCATTAGTACTGCTTGGTGTATTTATTCAACTTACCTGTATTGCAATCTAATCCTGTATATGATGCAAGACATGAACATTCATAGGGATCAGAAACGTACATTATTACACTATGATAACCATCAGTACTGCTAGGCGTATTTATTCAACTTACCTGTATTGCAATCTAATCCTGTATATGATGCAAGACATGAACATCCATATGGATCAGAAACACAAAACATACTTGTACGACAACCATCAGTATTGGAGTTTGAACAATGTCTTCCACAATCCTTTCCCCACTTCCCCCTCTTATCACAAGCTACAATGTATTTAATTGAATTCAATTAGAAAATATGTGTCACAAATAATGCAATACAAAAGAAATGCAATAAACATATGCATGCAGATAACCTGGTGGCTTATTCTATTTTATCATTTATCTTGGAAATACAGTCACATTCAAATAACTTTGCTGTTTTTCTTAAAGATTTTGAACAGCATTCAACTTGCAGAATAAAACTATGGAAAGAGCATTATCAAGATGGGCATTAGCTGGTTTTATTTTCGCTTATTTTATTGACAATATACATCATTACTAGCCAATTACCATTAATAATTTGTATATTGTTTAGATAACGTCTAAACTAGATAAACATGGGTTTTGTTTCCACATAATCTACATTACTAATTTTGAATTCTCTGAAAGGAAACACCCTGTAGGTTTTCTAGCAATGTATGTAAATTAGTCTACCTTTTTTTTCTACATTGTACTAACACAGTGTAAAGACTTCGAGAATTCTTCCACGGTCACTTTAAATAGTATCTTTAAGATGGTTTCATCTTACAAAATGTCAGCCATATTGCATCTCAAATTATAAGCAAACATGAACAAAAAAGTATTTTTGACAAACAAAATGTCCACCAGTTAGCCAATTTCAAAATAAAAATTAGAAAAATAATAGATGTGCCTCAGTATGTCAACAGGTGTTACCCATATTCTAAGTTGAACAGAATTGACCACGGCACAAATAATGATGTAAACGCATATAAAAATCTAAGTTTTTAGAATCCATTTTGAATCCAAGTGGAGAACAAGCCAACTTACAGTTGAAATTGCTCCGCTGTTTCAGCAGAGCAGAATAATAAGTTCAGTTTGATTTATCATTACATAAACATCTTCATGGGGAAACAAATAACCTTGGCTTTGCTTACATTCTATCATAAGTGTCTATACACATATGTTTTGGTGTATCGAAGTGGATTCATCAAATCTCATTGAGGTTCACCGAAGGAACATAGGTACATTTTGTATACCGGTAAATGCAATAGAATTAACAGTTTTGCAAAAAATTGTTTAAAACAAAAATTGACAACCACCTACATGTATACCAATAGCTCCATCTGTCATTGAGGACAGCAGAGCTAAAACAAAATCTGGGCATCATGTATACTGTGTCATGTATCAACTATGTACCAAGTTTGAGAAAATCGGTCCATGAACTTCTGAGATAATGTGACGGATAGACGTATCACAATCTATAAGCCCCCCAGACAGTGCCCAGTCAGGTTTAATAAGGTTCACTTGACTTCTTCAACAGTGGAGCAAAAATTACTACACGAGACAGTCAAATTATTTACTTTCCATAGTTATTTGTCATTATTTCTTTTACCTGTATTACAGTCATCTCCTTTAAATCCTGGTGGACATATACATTCTCCAGTGTCTGAATTACATATACCTCCATTATAACATGTAGGACAGTTAAGTAGACATGTATCACCATATTTACCATTAGGACAACCTGTAATAATTAGAACATCGTGTGTGACATGTAACTGTGGTAAGTAAACTTAAAACTGCATTCCTACTTTACAATAAATTTGCAAAAAACCCTCACTGGTGGTATTCACATTACCAATCATTGCCTGTGCTGACTTGGCTCTGGTTCTCAGAATGTGTGAATGGTCAGACGTGCATAAATTAAATTTGCTGTCTGAATGCTCGATGTGAATGAAAATCACACCCTTGGTAGTGAATTTAAGGGAGCATATACTGCAGCTGGATATGATCAGGTGCTGTAGTAATTAATGCTGAACATTGTCGGCAACACATATTAATGTGCGCTGCAACTACATGTAGTCAAATACCAGATCAACGAATGAGAGCACGATTTTGACACTGGTTTAGTGAATCCTGACTGACGTGATTGCAAAAGTGTAATTCCTCCACAAACAGGAAAAATTTCAGCACATGCCATGATCCCATAACATGAATGTAGTATAAACTGATTCCAGTAAGATTAAAGTGGCCTTAAAGTAAAGTAAATACTACAATAGTGCATTAGTGCACAGTTCCAATCATCAATCGTGCATGGGCTAGAGGTCAAAAAATATTAGCCCATGCTAATTGAACATCAATTTAAAAGTTTCACTATAATAACATTAAAATTAAATAAAGTAAAGGAAAATATATAATAAAAATAAATAATTAAACACAAATTTAAAAAAAAAACTAGATCTTATTTTAATCAGATTGGAATAAACCCACAGAGGTAAAATCAGATTTATGGATATCACATTGTTATCAAGTTGTGCATCTTAAACAGCTGACAGATAGTACTGTAGTTGCCAAGCTTCATGTCTGAAAGGCTAATCTTAAATCTTGAATTTTTAATATGCCTTTACAGTAAAACTCTCCACACATGGGAGTTCTTTCTAAACTTTCGTTGATTAACATTAAAATGACCATCATTCAGGTATCATGAATTAAATTGTCAAATGAATAAATGTACATATGTGTGCCATGTATAATTTATATGTAAAGTTTAAACATGATCAGTAAAGACATGTCAGAGATATGGTTCTGGAACAGCATTTGTTAAAACAAAATGGCAGCCAGTCAGCCATTTTGAATCTTGTCTGAGAAACAAAATGGTGTGCATCAATCAAGGTCTTAATAATGTCTGATTTGGTATCAAGTTTAAACAAAATACTTGTCTACTGGAATAGCAAAAATGTTTGATTTTGATGAATTTTTAGCCACCATTCAACAATCTTGAATCAGATGATGAAACAATTAAATGAACATACATGTGTTGCTCAAGATGTGATGTATTTGTTTTCCAAGATACAGGTGGAGATGCACACACAAAAAGTCAAAGCACAAGCTCTTGTTTTTGATTAAAACGAGATCACTCTAAGCCACAAACACACCAAATTTGCTAAATTTCCAATAAAAGCACATATAAACCAAAACTAGTATGTGTTGTATACTGAATCACTAGTCCATGCACATATTAAAGCATACTGTAAAGGGGGTAATTATTCACTGGGTTTTAATTTAGCTTATTTCGCTGACTGGAAAAAATGCGCTAAATTAAAACACAGTGAATATGTAAAATTTAGCATAGAACACATTATCTCAATGACGAAACCGTGAATTTAAAACCCACTGAATATGCCTGAAATGGTAAATCAGTGAAATTTAACCCAGTGAAATTAGTCATTTTACAGTATACGTTAGTATAGACAATATTTTCAAGTGAAATGTCATTTATAAAAAGTTGATGACCATAGACAGTCATACCATGAGTAAAGTTTCGTGCTGTGGAAAGCAGAGCTATAAATTTTAAAAGCTAATTTTAAAATTCTATCACATAAAAAATTAGTTGACAAAAGTGTGTTAGCCATGCCCATCATGTTTCACAAAGGTGGCTGCCAAATTCAACTGATATTGGCTCAAACAAACTTGTGTGTGCGTACTATAGTATTTTACAAAATAATGCCCTGGGCAACTGTTTGGAGAAAGGGTCATATTTTGGAGCGACTGATGGCTTCAAAACCTAGTGCCCAAATGTTGATCAGTATTCAGTCATGATTACAATAACATACAAAATATCAATTCATTGGTTTGTGCAGGTAAAATTCAACTCATTGTTATTGTAAGCAAATGTTTTCAGTGTCATGCAAACATTCAATGTCAATGACATCTGTAATGTTTTTTTCATACTCAAGTTCACTTAAAACTGCATCCTATTTTCGCAATACCCTATAACAGTGTTGTGTGCACTTAAGGTAGAAGCCTACTCATAATTTTTTAAGAAAAATGGTCATAAATCGCATGACAATGTTCAGTGCTCTATTGTGTAAAATCATGAAGCTATTGTCCAATGGCATAATAAAATAAAATTTCTTTTGTGTGTTACATTGACATATTTTGAAAAACTTTTCTGCGTCCGAACGGGGAATAATAAGCATTTGCATTTATGAGTAGGATTCTACATTAACTGACAAAGAGAAGTCAACAGTCCCATATCAGATTTTGATCAATTGGGTAAAAATGAATGATTTGTGCAAGTGACGTAAAACAAAATAAATAGTATGATTATGAATATAATTTATAATCTATTATTACTTATGTATTTTATTGTTCCTTATATCCTTATTGTATTCTAATCTTGATCCCAGAGGGGATACGATATCAATAAAGGTTGTTACTCAATTATGACATGCATTGGCAAAGCTGGCACCCCCTTTCATATTTTCACACCTCCCATGCCACATTGTGCTTCATGCAATATTTGCTCACATTTCGTCCTTCAGTCAGATTTGCATTAATTAACACCAGACTGTTCATTTGCTTATCTGTGCTTGCTTCCCCTTCAAGCATCAGTTCGTTTTGCCGCACTGTAAAATACACATCATCTCAGCAGACCTCCAACCCACCCCTTCATGCTCAGGTCTCTATATAACAACTTTCTAAACAATTACCGATCTCACTCAAATGTAAATCATGTTTATCTGCTCATGAACAACCTTGGCAATAAACAGGTAAGGGGGGGTTTCCACCACAAACCAAACAGACTTTACAGGGGTACCCACACGGGGTTGTGAGCCTATGTACAGGCTCCCACCAGGGGGGACGCCAGCCATGATGCCCTCCTGTAGTCTCTGCTGGTGGATGGTTGCGACCAGGTACCACACGCTCAGCGTCAAGATGCAATTCACAAGCGAGTCGCATCATGGAGCTGTTCACTGTGACGCCTGCGTTCGCAACTCGTTCCCCCTTCCACTTTTGCAAAAACCTTGTGTCTTGTGTAATTTATTGAAGCATCAACTTACGTCTAACAATAAGTCTCATAAAACCATTTTTTCCATTTTGTCGTTGTTGTTGAGTAGTATAACATTCATAAATTCCAGCATCTGATGGTTTAGCTGATGTAATAGTAATATTATTTTGTCCATCCCATGCTACTATATCCACACCATTATGTTTCCATTTCAATTGTGATTCTGTTATTGATGTTGATTGTATGGTCATTGTCAGTGTTACAACATCTCCCCAACTCACTGTCTTGGTTTGACTCTCTGGGTATATTTCAGCTGCAAAAAAAAAAGAATGAAAGCAAGATAGAATTTAACATTCATAAATATTGTACTAAATTTCCTAAAAGACTATTCTAAAACCCATGTACAGTGTATTATTACCTATTATACATCTGTCACCATAACGCCACAAGTTATAGTGTGTCGTAATTTTGCAGTATTTTACATTTTCATTCTACCATATAAGGAAATGCGAATTTCAAATATGGAATGATTACATGCGTAAGCGTCCTCTAATAATAAAAACAAATATGGCTGCCACTAGAGTTTGACCTGACTGCACACAAAGAAGCTCGCTGATTCTGTTCTAAACTGTTGGGATTTTGGCATTCCCATGATGTATCCCAGGAAGGAAAAGATGTATAATAATAATGCTATTACGAGGATACCTCAAAGTATGCACACGAACCCTTAC